GAGTTAATGAAATTTTAATTTTATATTGTTATTCTATTGATAATTGTTTTCAATTGTGGAAATTCCAAATAATGAATCCTGTTGTTCCCATAAAGGCAGCCCATCCCCAAAGTTCATAGAATCCTCTAAAACCAGCATGATATTAACGAATCACTTATCTTGAAATTCAAAAACTCTTTACCTATGTGTACCATTACAGAAGGGAGCATTTGCACTCTATTTACAATTACATAATTTATAATATCCAGAAGTATCAACATTAAATTTTATTGGTCTATTTCTAGTTGCTGAGGCATTACACATTCCATCACACCAAGGATTTGATTATGAAATACCGCATGAACACCATTAATAAATCTTAATTTACCTAATTCAAATTACCTTTCCCTTCTATAGATAACAATTATAAGGATAGAAACCAGAAACATAAGGTACTGATGCAGGACGGTACTTTCCTTCAGGATATGGGATTGATTCAGGTAGAAGTACGAATTTTTACTCTGGGAAATCAGTAATATCATCAGGCTTTCTTTCTTTTCTGGCTAAATTTATTAATGCCAACATTAATTACGTGGAGGTGGAGTAATGATTTCAGGTGGTAATGTATATGGATCACGTAAATGAGCTTCCCCATGTTGGAGTATTGTAGACACAGTTCTGTATTTAGCTGCCTTCTTCAAGATTTAAGACATCCAAAATAAATTAATTAAAACAATATCAATATTAAATAGTTATCATACTAAAACAATAATAATATCATCTATTGTTATACCAAAATGCATTATAGAATTCTATACTAAATATCAATGGATACTTATAAGCTTTCTTTATTATATAAAATTACAAATCAATATTTGTATAATTCTTTAAGAATTATTCCAATATCTTTTGATCTATAGATAAATATATTTTCAAGGATTCCATCATCTTTTTACATTCATATGGTAAAGTGAAAAAATAGTATTAATCAAAAACTTAAAATTGAAATATATAGTAATATATATAGATAATATATATAATCATATGTGTATGAATGTTTCATTTTGCTTTTAAGGTGGGTCCATATCCTTAGCATTCAACCACACCATAAGCAAATCAAACCTTCTTGATTTAATCATAATTATTTAATAATTGAAAATATACATACCAATTAAAAAAAGGTATTAACTAAAAATTTATACGTCATAATTTTAGAATATCAAAAAAAAGAGAGAATAATAAAAATAGAATATGAATAATAAGCAAAATATTGAGAGAATATAATTATATAATTTTGATAATTGAATTTAGAAATATGATGATGTTCATTATGGCTGTTATTGCTGAGGTAATAAGGCTCTTAATAAAAATTTATTTAGATTGATAGCTGTTTATTGAATAATGAGATCAGGTAAACCAAATTAATGTGGTTTTTCTTCTTAAATTATATGTTCTTCCTTTACATGCTCTTTATCAAGATATTAATGTTATTATTCTATAAGCATTTCAGCACTTTAAATAACATGTGTATGATGTGATCTTTGTTATGATATATTGGGACCTTATATTTAAATAACTTTTCTAATGATTTTTTCTTAGTTATTTTAAACTACTTCTTGTTCTTTAGGTTTCTTTTTCTTTCTTGGTTATTCTTCTTACTCTTAATTATCATCATGTTATTATTCATTCTTTTTCAATTATAATAATTTGTCATAAACATCTATATATGCTTATTTAATATCTGCTAAATCTGTAATTTATGTAAAATTTTTAGGTAATTCAATAGGATCAATTACAACTTCAATATCATCATTATTGAATGGTTCAAGAAATTCTTATAATTTTTTTAGATGTTATTAAAATTTACTAATAGTATTACTGCTATCAACACATAATATTATATATTTTTAATCGAGTTTATTATTGACATTATTATTAGTGCTTTTGTATAATACTTATTATATTGTTAATACTAAAGATTTAGAATCTTAGAATTTAAATACATTTGTATTAAGATATAATTTAATACATGAACTAAATTTGATGCATAGAAATACAGGATGTTTAACTTTATGTCTAATATTTGGAGCTGAAAAATAATTATTCAATCCTTCTATAGTATTAGTTATAACTTCTGTATTTTATGGTTTAGTTGTAGTAAATTACTTTTCAAGAGTTGTAATTGGAAATGGATCAAAATAAGATTATAATTTCTATTTATTTTATTATTCAATATCTCTTGCTGATTTTCTAGAATCAACAAATATAGGAGGAGATATACGTGATATTAATATTTATGGGAATTCAAATTTACTTTAACAAAGATAAAGTGTTATTATGATATGAAATTTTTAATGCTAAAATATATATATATAAATAAGATACATCATGATTATAAGATGTAGTGTTAAATTTAAGACCAGAGAAAATGCATTTATTATTTTCTAAATCCATTTTTTAATTGCCTTTAACACCTACTTCTAATAGATGAAAAGTTTTCATTGGACTTACTGTTGGTTTTACAATTTGAATTTTAGCCTAAATTAAAAGAAGCTAAATACATAGATCTTGCCTGGTGGAGCAAGCTTCTCATCAGTGGTGGGATCTGTTATCTAAGGATGTTTAAAACATAATGTTGTGTACCTCCAATTCAACACCAATATCTGGTAGATTCCAACTCTTATGCCAATTCCAACCCAAACCATTTTTGTTTGTGTAAATGAAATTTCTACTTTGTTCTATTTTGAGATCAATAACAGGATCAATCTATCCTTAATCTGACGGTATTTTAAGTTGTACAGATGGACTTAAGTTCCAAGTTGTTTCTGTATCCTTAGATATACGTTTCACATCATATTAACATGGTATCCATTCCCATTATTTATCTTAAGGAGCTATGTCAGATTTCTAATTTTCCTTCATTAAAATTATATAATATTAATGATTTCCATGTTTATTAAGTAGTGTTTAAATAATATGGACATAGTAGTTTTACTCGTAATAACCTAGATGATCTCCTTTCAAAGTCAAATATTACTTTATAAGAAATTCTAGATGCAGAAGTATTAGAAGAAATAAAACTTAATGGTGCTCAAAAGTTTGCATTATTGTATTGAACTATATCTATATAATTAGCATTATCAAAGATGTAAATAATTACTAAAAAATGATTGAATATCTACTTTAATTAGATTAAAACAATTCTAAATTGAAAAGGTATTGTCAAAACTTTATCTCAAAATAGGTACTAATTTCTCATAAGTGAAATTTTGAGTTACGATATTTCAATTTTAATTGATTATTTATTTGAACCAGAACCAAACATTCCAAATTATGAACTTCAAGAACAATAACGTTAATAACTCCTCCCTCTTTTATTTTAACCATTTCAAGCAGACTATCTTAATTATACTTAAGTAGGATATCTGACCAAAATAATTGAATCCATTATAAGAAAGAGGGGTAACAGCGTATAAATTAGTGAATTCAATCTAGTTATGGAATTGGTTTGATAATAATAAATCCATTTTGGATCATTTGATTAAACATCTAGATGTGTATCATGTGACATCAATACTCTTCCATCTAATCATGTCTGAATAAACATCTAATCATTATATAACATAAAGAATTTATTTACTTCAAAGAGTTCATAAAATATTGTTAAATAAAATTCATAACTATGAAATTGTACATAATTCTTGTGAATTGTTAATCTAAATTTGTAATACAACATAATAATAATTCATATAATAAATTGATAATCCAGAACAATATTATATATCAGCAGTAATCATTGATTTTATTATTAGTGTGATACTGGTTTTGTTGAATTTTTGAATATTATAATAGCACTCTTATAATAAAGATAATTAGATCAAGAAAATGATTATTCAAAATATAATTATATAGCTCTTAATATACATAGATCATTCTCTTATGAATATTTGAATTTTGGTAAATAAATAAATATATATCTAAGCATTTAATTCAACTTTGAATGTAATCTAAACAACTCTTGGTTAATTTAAATTAAGTCTATTGACTATATATTATTTACTCTTAAAAACTGAAGATTCTAAATTATTAAATTTAATTCATCATATATAAATCTATAAGGATTTATATAAATACATTATTAAATTTGAATTTAATAATTAACTTTAAATTTAATTCAATTAAATCACTACATTTATTTTCAAAACTAAATCATTAAGTTGGATTTAAGATCTCATACAAAATGATTTATTTGAATTCATTTCCACTTATAACACATAAACCAAATCATTTATTGGATAAATTAAATATCCAATAAATAGAGGATATTTTGGAATCTTATCTTAACTTTCCTATGAATTAGAAGAACATATCTATGAATCAACTAATTGGAATTACTATAAATAGAATATTTTGTAATAGCTTAAAAATATAGAGCAAAATTACTATTTCGGTGTGAATCCTAAAAGTAATGATATTGAATAAATATCAATAAACACTAAAGACAATTTTTAAGTATTTAATTTATCTTAATGCTATTAGTATGAATCTTAGGTTAAACCTGATCCTATAGAGATTGAACTTAATAATAATAATAAATAAAACAATAATGAAATTGAATAAATTTTAAATGCTAGACTTAGATTAAGTTTTCCTATCAAAACTTTATTATCCTTTTCAGATATGAATTCTAAAGTAGTTCCTATATAATATGTATATAATAATGGTAACAATACAGAATCTCAAAATTTAGAATCTGATTCTTTAGATATTACTGAATAAAAAAAGAAAAAGATTTGTAGTTCATAAAATGAATATTTGATAGATAATAAAGAATCAAATTCAATATAATTAATTGAGGATAAGAATGCTACTGATATAATTAATGTGAATCAAAATGATAATTTATAATATTGAAAGTTTATAAAATATACATAATTATACATATTCAAATTTATTAACTAAATGATTTTTAATAAAAAAAAAATATTAATAAATAATTGTTTAAATTTATTAAAAAATCGATGTTTATAGAATCAATTGATCACTCTACTCCAAGAACGATTCAAGAAAATGAAAGTACAAATCAATAATCGACTTAGTTTCAGAGCCAGAATATGATTAAAAAATTAACTATAAACTTGAAGTTAGAAAATCACATCTACTCTTATAGTTCCTAAGATTTTAAGTTGAAAATACTCAAAAGAGTATTGCAAAACTATAAAAAAAGCTTTCAAATGATGAGGTAATTGTAAAACTCATATGTTTTTATTTAACTATTTGCTCGTTATTATATATATTTGTTTTAATTTAATTTTATTAGGTAAAAAATAAACGAATCTCAAGAAAAAATTCAATTACAAAACCTTTTAAATGTTCAAATTGCACTCATACATATTCTTCAAAAGCAGCTCTAAAATAGCACTTAAAACTGAAACATTTTGATGAACATACTCCATTGACTCAACCTTTAGATTAATAAAAAGTATTAGTTGAACCATTATCCTAAATATGAAATTAATTTGTTAATTTATATTTTGTATTATAAAAAGATCCACTTAAATAATCAAAAATATTAATAACAGAAAACATTTTATAATGTGAAAATAATATCCCCATAATTCATAATGAGTAACTATGAACTTGAACTTAAGTTTTTTTGTATATTTCTAATTAAGAATTAAAATCATTATAATACAAATTCTCCAATTAAATATGAAAGAGTCCTAATTCAAATTTATAGCTATTTTCTAAAGTATAATAGAGAATGTTAACACATAAGTATTCACAGTTGAATAATTATAATTAAATTAAATAATTTTCTTTTTTTATTTTGCTTTTTTTTTTATTAGTTAACTAATATATGCTTGTTATTATTAATATTTAAATGTATATCATTATAATAAAATATCATAAATTAAATAGTAAACTAGAAATAAAATTTAAATATAATAGATTAGGTATAGGAATTAAATTTAGGATTCAATTATTGAAGTATTTTTGAATAGTTTTTTGATATTAATAATAATCTAAATGAAATTTAGATGTTTGTTGTTTATAAGTACTCAGCATTTATTATAATACATATTTTAAATTAATTCACAATGTTACAAGAGAGTGCTAAAATAAAACTTGCCGGTCGTCTTTTTGATAGAGGGAAACCACCTTAAAGTAATAATAATGAGAGACCACTTACTGCAAAGATTGCAATCAGAGCATAGATGAATCAGACAATGACAAAGATTGAGAAAGTTCCTGATAAATTACCTGCAATACATGAAGAACGTAGTTTCTCTTATCAAAAATCAGGAGGAGCAGGTCTAAATCAAACTCGTGGGAAATCATAGAACAGTAATATTGATTAGATTCAATTTAGACAATGACTCATTCCCAAAGCATAATAAAACTTTTGATTTAACAAATGATATATTCTTAGATGAGAGACGATTATTAAAGTCTCGTCAGGTTCATGAATTAATGGATCGAATGATTGGAAGAGTAAAACCTCCAAGTCCACCAAAAGAAGTTTAGAAGATTGTTTAAGTGTTACCAAGTAATATTTTGGATAATACTCGTATGTCTATGACGAGGGATAATAGAACAGCTGCCAGGAAGACTATTAGAGCATAATAAATGAGGAAAGAGATTTTGAATAAAACCTCCATCTCTTAAGTTTCAGATAGTTCAGAAGATTCAGGTGAAGAGAATGGTAATTTTGGATTGAAAGATGTGGATGCATTTATTCAAATGATTAAGGAGCATAAATTAAGTTAATAAGAATTCATGTATTTGATAAAAAGAAAGAAACATTCAAATGATGCTTACAATATGAGAATAGTTAATTATCCATATATTCAAAAACATTAACTAAATAATTTTTATACACTTTCAGCTAAAGGATTAACAAGATATGAGAATAATATTACAATTGAATTTGTTTCATTAAATACATGGTTAGAAGAAAGAGATTAATTTAATGCAATAAAATCATTAAGTTTTTTTAAAAAGTTTCGTAAATGGAAGACATTAAAGAAATGGCAAAAGATATTACATTAACATAGAACTTCTATTGTTTAAGCTTAATTATGTGAAAAAATGTTAATTTTAAATCCAATTTATTAAAAATTAATAGTTTCACATAGAAGTTTATGTTATGATATAGAAGCACTTAGAATAGTAGATATAGATAAAATAGAAGAAGAATTGACAGATAAAAAAGACTAATATTTGAGTTTGCAAGAATTTAGTTTATTATAATAGAAATAGAGAAATAGATTAGTAGAGAAAATTTAAATTTAATCAAGGAAAATGAAAGAAAATTGTTTATCAGGACTTAAAACTGTTATTGATAAATTAAGAACATAAATTAATTAAGAGAAATAATCAGATGATGATCATGTGCCATTAAAAATAGAAAAAAATATGTCTCAATCAAGATAAATAGATAAAAAATAATAAATTATTGAAACTTTTGGATTTCCAGAAAGAATGGATTATGGACATAGAGCATTAATGAGAACAGAATTCATTAAATTTTTAAGATTAGCATATCTATTAGATTTTATTGCTGTTTAATCTTTAGGATAAATTTATATTAAATCAGCAACAGAATTTGTAGATAAATTGATTAAAGTTTAATAATGTAGTAAAAATAACAGAAAATTACCTAAATTGACTGAAAATGAAGATGAAAAAAAAGATTTCTAAGATTATGATCCTATATTCACTATTGAATTAAGATTTAATCCAATTGATGGTCATCTTGATATTGAGAGATAAGAAGTACCTTGGGATACTTTAAGTGATAATTTATTAGATTTTGATTTATAAGAGTGTATTAGATTAAAAGAAGAGAAAGTACAAACTAATGAGAAAGTAGAAAAAAAACAATAAAATACTTAGAATGCAAATTAATAGTAATAAATGGAACCATAGGATGATTTAATAGAAGATCCTGAATTTGTATGTAAAAGAGAGGTTCAAAATCTTTATGAAACACAATTAGAAGTACATCCATCAAAGAGAGATTTCTTTAGTAAAATTTAAGAGGCATTTTGTGATGGATTAGATTAGATATAAGTGATTGAGAGATGGAGTAAACATCCTGATTTCTTGTAGTATGTTTAAGCTTTGGAAGAATGGGATGAAATTATTGGAGATAAGTGGACATAACCTGATTCTATTAATTTAAATCCATCATATTGGATTAAAGAACATCCTATGAATAATATATTTATGCATGAAATTTCTTAAGAATTGGATTAAGCATTTTAAAAATTGGAACTTTTTTAAAAAGAATTCAATGAATATTTGAATTTAATATGGAGACAAGAGAATAGTGAAATAAGTTAATTATAAAATCCTAGATTGATGTATTAATCAAAGATATTTGCATGTACTTTGAAGAGTGCATAATTAATAGATAACATATTACAATAAAAATTAATACCTTAAGTAGATATTGGATTATACAGAGTTAAAATATCAAATATATAAAAATAATTGAGTGCTAGATAATCATAAATACTGGCATAATTGGAGGAACTTTATTTATAATTGTTTAGGAATAGATCTTAAGTATTGAAGGCATGGTTATAATAATCAATTAAATCATTATCAGGTATGGTTATTAGAATTGAAGAATTTATCGAATAAAAGAATTCTGTAGATAGAATAACTAAGGAATTACCTTAAAGAAGAGAAGAAATTGAAACTGCTATTAGTATAATGACATTGGCTTAAGATTGCAAACTATTTTCAATGAAGAAAGAAGATAAGGATTTAGCATAAGATTTGAATTATTTAGAATCTTCTTTGAATGTTGCATTATCAGAAGCAGATAATAATACAGCCAAAAATATTGAGAAATTTAAAAAAACATTGAAAGAACGTATAGATAAATTAAAAGGTGAATGTTTAGAAGTTAGTGAAGCAGTAAACAAGGAGAAGTTTTTAACATTAAACACTGATTTGGAAGATGCTATAAAGGAATTAACTGAAATAGATACAAAAACTAAATAATTGGAATAGAGTGCTTAATTATACACACAATATGAAGAAATTCTATAATGTTAAGAATAAGCTTAATATGAGGTATTGGAGAATACAAGAGAATAATTAAATTTGAGATTAGGAATGTGGTAGGGAATTTAGGAATTTAAAAAATTATCCTAAGAGTGGTAATAATTATAATTTACATCAATTAATGCAAAGGAAATAGCTTAGAAAACTGAAGGATTTGTTAGAATTGTACAAAGATGTGAAAAGAATTTGTAAGAAAATAGAGTAATTGCCTATTTGAAGAAAATTGTATGGGAATTTAAAGATACTATTCCAGTAGTTACAGCATTACGTTCATAATATTTATAATAAACACATTGGCAAGAAATAAAATAATTGGTTAGATAAGAATTTGATGTAAATGATTAATAATTTACATTAAATACTTTATTGGATTTAAATGTAGCATAACATAATGAAATGATCACTGAAATAGCTGTGAAAGCAGCTTAAGAAGATTCACTTAATACTCAATTAAAAATCTTAGAGACATAATGGAATGAAGTAGAATTGAAGTTGAAACCTTATAAAGATCAATTAGATGTTATGGTTTTAGGAGAAGTAGAAGAATTAATTCAATTATTTGATGAAGGATTGGCAAATATGTCTAATATACTTGCTAGTCGTTATGTTAGACCATTGAGATAGAGAGCTGAGAAATTCTAATCTGATTTACTATTGTTATCAGATATTATAGAAAAGTGGGTTGAATGTTAAAAGAAATGGATGTATTTGGAAAGTATTTTTTGTAGTTAAGATATTAAAAAATAATTATCAAATGAATCTTAATTATTTGATAGTTGTGATAGATTAATTAAGAAATTAGTTAAATAAGTAAATCTAAGACCTTAAATTATGAGATTATTAGCTATGTAAAATATGTTAGACAATTTAACTAAAACATTAGAGACTTTAGAATAAATTGAAAAGTCTTTAGAAGATTATTTAGAAGTGAAGAGAGGATCATTTCCAAGATTCTACTTTTTGTCTAATGATGAATTATTAGAAATATTATCTAAATAAACTGATATCAATTCAGTATAATCTCATTTAGGATAATGTTTTGAAGCATTAGTTAAATTATACTTTGGTGATCAACCTAATGTTATTTAAGGAATTTATTCTCCAGAAGGTGAATTAGTATAATATTATAAATCTATACCTGCAAGAGGGAATGTTGAAACCTGGTTACATTTATTAGAATTGGAAATGGTAGAGACTTTACGTAAATTGTGTAAATAAGGTTTATAAGATTATTTGAATGGAATATAAAAGACTAAAACAGATTGGATTCTTAATCATAAATCATAGATTGTAGCTGTTGTTAGTTAAATACTTTGGTCAATTAATACTGAAGATGCCATTAATGAATCTAGTGTTAAAGCTAATGCTCTTTATGAATGGCATGATATGATGGAAATGTAATTGAAATAACTCACAGCTTTAGTAAGAGGA